TTGAAAACAACAAGAAAGAAAGTTACCTTACCTATAAGGGAAAAACTACTTAAATGACCACAGATTTCTCATCAGAAACCATAGAGGCCAGAAAGGAATGGGGTAACATTTTCCAAGTGCTGAAAGAAAAAACTGTGAACCCAGAATTCAATATTCACTGAGAATATCCTTCAAGAATGAAGAGGAATAAAGTCATTCTAAGATAAAAACTAAGAGAATGTGTTGTGAGAAGACCTGCTCTAAAAAGATGGATACAGAGTGTTTCCTAAAAAAGAAAGAAATCTTGGAACATTGGAAAGAAAGGAATAACAAAGGAGAGAGTAAATATTAATATATATGGAAAATGCAATAGATTTCTTCCTGATTTTGAGTCTTCTAAACTTTGTTTGATGGTTGAATCAAGAATTATATACTGTCTGATGTGATTCTCAATAGGTAGAGGAAATACTTAAGACAACCATAATATTTGGTGGGTGGGGGAAGAGAATATAAATGGTGTGGGGAAGAGGAAGTAAATGTGAATGTGAGTTTTGTGAGAGAACTTTGTGGTGATACAGTACTTCTGGATCTTGATTGTGGTGGTGGTATCACGAATATATACATGATAAAGTGGCACAGAACTATAAACTCTCATTGCATCATTGCCAGTTCTATATTATACTATACTTATGCAAGGGCTTCCCCACTGGCTCAGAGGTAAAGAATCTGCCTGCAAGGCAGGAGCCGCAGGAGACCCGGGTATGATCCCTGGGTTGGGAAGATCCCCTGGAGGAGGGCATGGCAACCCACTCAGGTATTCTTGCCTGGAGAATCCCATGGGCATAGGAACCTAGTGGGCCGCAGTCCATAGGGCTGCAAAGAGTTGGGCGTGACTGAAGTGACTTAGCACGCATGCATGCACACATATTTATGCATGATAAAATCATTGGGGCATATTGGGTCAAAAGTACATGATAACTCTGTACCATCTTTGCAACTTTCTATGAGCCTATATTATTTCAAAACTATAAGTTTTTTTTTTAAGTAGAAGAAGAGGGAATATAAAATACAGAAATGTTCGCTGACTTGAATTCTTACTTACTAAAAATACATATAATTTAAAAAAATGAACAGAGCTTCAGTGACCTGGGAGCAATATCAAAAGCTCAAACACATTGTAAATGGAGTTCCAGAAAGAGGAGAGAGAATGGGTCAGAAAAGTATTCGGAGACACAATGGCTAAAAATGCCCCAAGTTTGGTAGAGACATATATTTATAGATTCAAGAGGCTCAGTAAGCCTAAAGTACAACTTCTTTTTTTAAGCCTAAAGTACAACTTTTTAAAAAAGCATACACTTGAGCATATCATAATTAAACTGCCAAAACCAAAGATAAAGAGAAAATCTTGAAAATGGCCAGAAACAAAAAAATACATTACATACAAGGAAATAATAATACAACTGACTACTGCTTACTACTATCTTTTGTTTTGGCTCTATTATACAATGTGCAGGGATCTTAGTTCCCAGGGTTGAAACCCAACTCCAGCAGCAAGAGGGCCGAGTCCTAACCACTTGACCACCAGGGAACTCCCCTAACTACTGTCTAAACATCATAAGTTATTGAGGCCAAAACACAGTAGAATAACATCTTTACGATGTCAAAATGAAAAATCTGTCAACCCAGAATTCTACACCCAGGGAATATATCTTTCAAAAATGAAAATTATATAGACTATTTTTAGAAAAATGAAAACAAGAATTTATCATCAGCAGACCCGCACTAAAGAATTACTAAAGGAAGATCTTCAGGATGAGGTAAATGATGCCAGACAGAAACTCAGACTTCAGGAGAGGATGACAAACACTGGAAAACTACTTCTGCATTTCTTTCTTTCTTTCATAAGATTTTTAATTTGAAATATGGTCTAAGCAACATGAATGTAATACATCTTCATTTCTTTTTTTTTTGTTTTTTTTTTGTTGTTTTTGTTTTGTTTTTTTGCATCTTCATTTCTTTAAAATACTTATATAAAACAAAACTGTTAACATTATATTGTGGACTTTATAATAATATGTATAATTAATTGTGACAGAGGAAATGCAGGTTGAGTGTGGTTAGTAAAATGGAGTTGCCTGGAAGGGCCAGGGCATGGTGGGCACCGTGACATTCTAGACCACTTGCAAATTAAACTGAATGAGCTAATATATATAAAATTACATGACAACGTGCTTGAGTCATATATTTTAAAAAATGTCAAAAGTACTTGCCAATTAAGATCAATCTGAAATGAAATATGGTACGCCTGAAATTGATAATATAAATCAGTGACAAAATATATAACTTACACAAATTTAATTCACACAATATCATGGTTCTATTGCATAATAGGACATTTACAATTACAGTGTTATTACACCTACACAACATAATATACCATTAACATTTTCCAGGAGACAAGAAGTGGGTGAAAAGACTAAATGAGAAGTTAAATTAAGATTCAGTGAATACTGACACTGCTCAGATGCTAATTATCTTTTTTTGTGTGGAAAAAAAAATCCAACTTTTCATCCATAATGAATTATGTGTTTTCTCAAAGATTGTGTGTATGTGCTCAGTTGGTCAGTCATGCCTGAACTCTTTGCGACCCCATGGATTATAGCCCACCTGGCTCCTCTCTTCATGGGATCCTCTGGGCAAGAATACTGGAGCAGATTGCCATTTCCTCCTCCAGGGAATCTTCCCAACCCAGGGATCAAACCTGTGTCTCTTGTGTCTCCTGTATCGGGAGGCAGGTTCTTTACCACTAGCACCACCTGGGAAGGCTTGAGAATAAGTTACTATAAACACAGAGTTCTGTAATAACTAGCAGTTTTATTATTTTTTAAAATATTTATTTATTTGACTGAGCCAGAGGTCTTAATAGGGGTAACCAAAATCTGTAGTTGTGAAATGTGAGATCTAGTTCCCTGATCAGGGATTGAACCCAGGCTCCCCTGCACTGGGAGCGTGGAGTCTTAGCCACTGGACCACCAAAGGAAGTCTCCTAACCCAGTTCTTTTTCTAACTTACTCTGTGCCTGCTTTGATTGCCTACCAATGGCACCCCACTCCAGTACTCTTGCCTGGGAAATCCCATGGACAGAGGAGCCTGGTAGGCTGCAGTCCATGGGGTCGCGAAGAGTCGGACACTTCGCCAGCTCAGATCCTATATGGAGGAAAACACCATGACAGTTTTGAAACAGTCTCTGATCCTTCTGGCAATATAAAGGTATAGTACTCAGAGTACATGGTATAGAGAAATCTGACAGCATTTTCAAATAAACAAACTGTCGACTAAAAAATTAGTTTACAACCTGAAAGCAGAGAGTGTTTTATTCGGTGGGAAAATCTTAGGACTTCAAGTCTGGGAGGCAGGATCTCAGGTAGGTCTGAGGGACTGCTCCAAGGAGGAGGGAGTCAGGCTACATACAAGTTTGTAACCAAGGGGACAGGCGGTTTGAACATCAAAGATTATTGTTAAGTAAGGAAAACCAGATAGCAAGGTAAGCAATTTAGCATTCTTCTATGTATGGGAAGAAGCAAGAGTCTGGGATTTTTGAAGTCATTCCTTTCATATGCATTCAACTATCTGGGCCAGCATCTGTTATCTGTTTTTTGACTTCTCACTGCCCCCTCTCCCCATCCCACCCAGCTCCTTGGCAATCACCATAGGGGGCATGGAGGCATGTGCTGGATTGTTTTCCCCCTTGGGAGACTTCATTCACATTTGGAGGCCCGAAATCACTGATGGCTGTTACATCCTTGTTTACTGATATTCCATTTCACAAAACTTAAAAAAAAAATTCTTCCCTATTGAAAAACTAACAAAAAGACCTGGGAAAGAGACTTTCAGAACAATGTCTACAACTTCTTGTCTAGATAAATCATAATATACACAAATAGCTTCCAAAATGACTTTTATTACTATATAAAAACAAGAAAAAAAATAGATGCATATTTTTTCTACAAAATTATAAAATATTCAGGCTGTTTAACATTTTTGCATAAATGTATTGAGATTAAAAAGGTAGATTTAAACAGAGGAATCTTTTCCACTTAAAGTTTTCAGGTACTTTGTAGGGGATAAAGAAGTTTTCATTCTTTTATACTTTCCTATGTGTAGCTCGAAGACATAGCAGTTACAGTTTTCTGTCAGAGTTATCTAAAAAAGGGCATACAAAGATAAAAATTCCATCACGCTGCAATAAAATTAGCAAAAAGCTTTACTTCAGGCTTTCAGATTTGGCAGTTGCGGTCAATCAGTTTTGCACTGGAATTTCCAATTCAGCAGGGAAAGAGCCTAATTAAAAGCAAGACATCCTCTTTATTTTGTCCTTTAGAAAACAAAAATCACTTGTCAGTATCCCTTAAAAAGTGCAATTACCTCCTTTGTCATTTTATCATAAGGTCTGAGCTACTGTTTCTAACCCGCACAGCTTAAATGAAACCAGGAGAGGAAAGGGAGGGAGGGACTTTGAGGGTGGATTCAGTTTGACATAATGAGCACAGGAAGCTGTACACTTTTGATAACATTAATTCAAAAAGTATAATCGTCTGAGTTTCTCAATAAACCCTTCGAGACAAAAGCCTTTAGTGTTGATTTAGATGCGTGCTAAAATAAAGCTTTTTTCCTGAAATTAGATTATGGGGTAAGGCAAGCCAGACCATCTCTGTAGATGATATAAGCTATAATTATTTGGTAAGATTTCAATCACTGTTTTGGAATTGATACCTAAGGCTTTCTTCTCCCATGTTCTTTTTGTGGACTTTTTAATGAGATATTTTGGGGGGAGATGCTTTAGGTAGGAAATACCAGCTTTTGAAAGATAAAGGTATAATTATCATTAGAATAAAAGGTCCATTAAAAGAAGAATCTCAAACAGAAAGGTTTTCTAGATATATTTTACTATGCATTGTTTTTACAAAGGTTGAAAAAGAAAGAAAAGAAGTTCCTATAATATCTGTAAGATGAACCTCACATTAGCCCACAAGAGGGATAAAATAAAGGGCTGAGGTGAGGAGTGCTCCAATGCTTCTCAAGGGAGCAGCACAGTCTAGTACCATAATTAGCTTTTCATTTTCTCTTTCCTGGCCTGTATGAAATGGAATGGCAGCTTCAATCCTTGGGGTGGTCATTAACCCCTTGCCCCCCAAAATACCTGGAATTTTGTGCACCTCTATGTAATGAAACATCCATTTACCAAAATATGTTTCTGTGTGACAATTCAATTCCTCCTTCCACTTAGGACCCAAATTGTAGCAGTCTCTACTTCTATTGAATTTATGTGCATATCGCATACATATACGCCAGGCACTGCGCTGGGCACTGGGGATCCCTATGACTATTGCCAAAATTTTGGAAACAGAATGAAGAAGACAACAGTGTTTTGGCGAGCAACTCAAATGATAATCATCAAACTTCAGGGATGTGATGGAGAGTAGCTCGTACTCATTCTATGGGCATAATTACCAGTTACCCTAAAAGGAAATTTGCTAAACACCAAAAACATTAAGTTTATTTGGTAGAAACAGTTTAAAATTGCAGGGAAACCAAAAATCAACCCTCAGGTAAAATGCATTGTTTTAGCATAGGCACCACTCTAGGTTTTAAGTCAGCTCAGAGCCTAGACAGAGATCTCATGCATGAAAATTGTCATCTCTGAGTCTTAATTCACTACTGAGAACCCAAAACACAAGATACCCCCTGCTAGAATTCCACCCAAATCAGGAAGGACTCTAGCTTTTGCCCCTGGGGAAGGGCAGACCATGAAGTTCATATCTCTCCATGAAGTTCATCTCTTCTACCTCCAAACCCAAAGCTATTTAGCAGCTAAGATTCTGAAGAACCAAAATTGTAACTGATGAACTTTGAAAGCTATAGATGTTCTTGCCTAAACCTCTCTTTATTACCAAGACACAATTTTGACATCAGAGGGGGCATCAAGGTAAGCCACGGCTTGTTGGCAGTGGCAGAGTGCGCATGGTGAATCTCCAGGTAAGGGTAGGCCCTCTTCCTTGGGCTTGCCTGGTGGCTAAAGGTTAAAGCGTCTGCCTCCAATGCGGGAGCCCGGGTTCAATCCCTGGGTTGGGAAGATCCCCTGGAAGAGGAAATGGTAACCCACTCCAGTATTCTTGCCTGGAGAATCCCATGGACGGAGGAACCTGGTAGGCTACAGTCCACAGGGTCGCAAAGAGTCGGACATGACTGAGTGACTTCACTTTCACTTCACTCTTCCTTGTTTATTTGAGGAATCTGCCTTGTAAACAGAGCAGAAGGTAGATTTTGAAAACTCTACTGCATCCCACCAAATGAGGTTTATCCAAGGGGGGGTCAAAACAGGTGTAAATTAGCATGGGCTTCCCTAGGCTCAGACAGTAAGAATCCACCTGCAATGCAGAAGATCTGGGTTTACTCCCTGGGCTGGGAAGATCCCCTGGAGAAAGAAATGGCAACCCATTCCAGGATTCTTATCTGGAGAAACCCATGCGCAGAGAAGCCAGGCAGGCTACAGTCTATAGGGTCGCAGAGACACGACTGAGCGACTTAGCATGCACCCATGAAGACAACAACATAGTGAATCATGGACTGACCTGAGGTGCCAAAATGCCAGTTTTGGAGTCTCAGTTTCACTACTCATTAGCTGTGTGACCTTCAGGCAGGTTACTAACCTCTCTCAGATCTCTCAACTGTAAAATGGAGATTTTAATGGTGCCTACTGCAAAAGTGATATCTGAGGATTGAATGAGCTAAGATTTATAAAGTGCTTAGGATAGTACTGGCACTTAGTGAGTTCCATGTTTAAAAACGCCAGAAACTTGGGGGAGAGTGTTCTTTGAGGTTCGTAGAGCAGTTTATACTGCCTATGTATTCAGGTATATTCTCATTATAATTAGGTTTGGAATCTGGATCATAAAGTACACCAAACCCAAGGAAGCCTTGGGATTAAGTCAATTTGGAAAAACTTCTAAGTCCTACCAGAGGAGATCTTCAGCTACCTACAGTCCTGTCACTGCTCCAAAGTGCCCTAAAATAAACCCTGGTCTCCAGGGCCAATCTAAGGGCAAACCAGCTGGGGAGGGAGCAAAGGGCAGATACAGGGAAAAGGAAGCCAGTTCCTTTCCTCCATTTTTTTCTGGGCTCTAGTCATGATACCGGTGTAGCATTAACTCTGTCCCATGTATTCATGATCTGATTCTAAAACTTTATAACTGGATTCCCAGAATAAACAGAAAATGACTACATGATTAGAGGCCAGGGAAGCTGCCAGTTTATCAGATTTACCCACTGTAGACACATTTTGATTATTTGTTCTATGCAAGGCACTGTGCTAAATGCTTTGGTCCTCAATGAGAAAGAGGTAATATAAGCACAATTTATATCTACTGTTATTAATATTTACATTGATCATCTCCCTTTCAATTTGGGTAAGTTCATAAGCTTCAATCAATATAAACACTTTGAAGACATCATATTTTCTGATTAGAATAAATATTGACTCTGTGGACCTCAATCATCTCATGGGTAAATAGGAGAAGCTAAACTGGAGAGCTAGTTTTTTAAACTGGAGTTATATAGCTACATTGCTACCCCATTTTACATGGTGGATCTCTGTCCAGCCTCATCAAGGGTGATGTTTCTTTTCCTTGCTGCTGCTTCATTGTTTAACTCCGAATCTGATTTGTCCATGTTGCCAAAGTTCATGGCCACGGAAGCTTCCACTCCCTCTGGAGCACCTCCGTTTGGCTGAAGAAGGACAGAATTTGGTTCTTTAGGACGTTTCCATTGTGGTCTGGTGACTATCCAAAAAATGAGAGCCCCAAACACCAGAATCAGAAGGCCAAGGGTGTTTGTGAAAACACCTTCTGGTGGCAATGAACTGTATGCAGGACTTTTCCTATAGAAAAAGAGAGAGTATGTCCAGTTATAAACAGGGTGATACAGCAACATGCCAAACAGTCTTGAATTTATTTGCTCAAAAGGCACATTGGTAGAGTGTGTGTAAATTCAACATAAATTCCCTTAAAGCTTGATATTAAGAAATTCATGTAATTCATTCAGTGGATTAGTATGAAACTGTTAAAAATTTCATAAAGTATGAAAATAATATAGCATCTAAAACACCTGTACCACTTAAAAGCAAAAAAAAGGATGATACAAAAATGTAGGTATATCATAATTACAGTTAATATAAAAACATGTATATCAAAACAATTGAAAGAGCATGCAGAACTTCAAAGGTAGTTTTGTAAGAGTGGTACAATTTATTGGACTGTTTGGTTTTTCTTTCAAGCATTATTAATGCTATACTACATGTATAACACATTTTAAAAAATAAATATTTAAATTTTTTATTTTCCCCATTTAAAAAATGTTGTCACATTTATATTTGTCCAATGAACAAGTATTTAATATTTTGTAGCTGAAGAATTGCAGTTAAGAAAACTATGAAACTTACAATGCAAAAATCAGCTTCTCAGTCAATCCCATAAGTACAGTTGCAATCACTGTTCCAAAGATGAAAAGTCCGGAATAAACGTGTATGGGCATGAGAAGTGCTCGGAGAGAGAGTGGAGCCCAAGGAAGCAGAAAGACAAAAAAACCTAAGAGAAGCTGAACATCAAAAAATTCAGAGGTTATCAATTCATTGTAAGTTTTAACTGTTTTAAAATTATTGTTAGAGAAGCAATATGTGCACAATGAGAAAACATTTCACTTAGAACCAAGGGCATAAAATGAAAAGTTTCCCCATTCTAGTTTCACTCAAAAGGGACACCTACTATCACTTCCTCAAGCATTTTTTTAACAAAAATTCTATGACTAAACAAGCATATGTGTGTGTGTTTAAAGAGAAAGTGAGTCAGACGTAGAAAACAAACCTATGGTTCAGTTCAGTCCAGTTCAGTCGCTCAGTCGTGTCCGACTCTTTGCGACCCCATGAATCGCAGCACGCCAGGCCTCCCTGTCCATCACCAGCTCCTGGATTTTACTCAAACTCATGTCCATCGAGTCGGTGATACCATCCATCCATCTCATCCTCGGTCGTCCCCTTATCCTCCTGCCCCCAATCCCTCCCAGCATCAGGGTCTTTTCCAATGAGTCAACTCTTCGCATGAGGTGGCCAAAGTATTGGAGTTTCAGCTTGAGCTTCAGTCCTTCCAATGAACACCCAGGACTGATCTCCTTTAGGATGGACTGGCTGGATCTCCTTGCAGTCCAAGGGACTCTCAAGAGTCTTCTCCAACACCACAGTTCAAAGCATCAATTTTTTGGCACTCAGCTTTCTTCACATTCCAACTCTCACATCCATACATGACCACTGGAAAAACCATAGCCTTGACTAGATGAACCTTTGTTGGCAAAGTAATGTCTCTGCTTTTTAATATGCTATCTAGGTTGGTCATAACTTTCCTTCCAAGGAGTGAGCGTCTTTTAATTTCATGGCTGCAATCACCATCTGCAGTGATAGTACCCAAAAAATTAATCTAGAGCCTAAAAAAATAAAGTCAGCCACTGTTTTCCCATCTATTTCCCATGAAGTGATGGGACCAGATGATGGCCATGATCTTAGTTTTCTGAATGTTGAGCTTTAAGCCAACTTTTTCACTCTCCTCCTTCACTTTCTAGGAGTTTTTTAGTTCCTCTTCACTTTCTGCCATAAGGGTGGTGTCATCTGCATATATGAGGTTATTGATATTTCTCCCAGCAATCTTGATTCCAGCTTGTTCATCTTCCAGCCCAGCATTTCTCATGATGTACTCTGCATAGAAGTTAAATAAGCAGGGTGACAATATACAGCCTTGATGTACTCCATTTCCTATTTGGAACCAGTCTGTTGTTCCATGTCCAGTTCTAACTGTTGCTTCCTGACCTCAATACAGGTTTCTCAAGAGGCGGGTCAGGTGGTCTGGTATTCCCATCTCTTTCAGAATTTCCCACAGTTTATTGTGATCCACAGTCAGAGGCTTTGTCATAGTCAATAAAGCAGAAATAGATGTTTTTCTGGAACTCTCTTGCTTTTTCAATGATCCAGCGGATGTTGGCAATTTGATCTCTGGTTCCTCTGCCTTTTCTAAAACCAGCTTGAACATCTGGAAGTTCACGGTTCACATATTGCTGAAGCCTGGCTTGGAGAATTTTGAGCATTACTTTACTAGCGAGTGAGATGAGTGCAATTGTGTGATAGTTAGAGCATTCTTGGCATTGCCTTTCTTTGGGGTTGGAATGAAAACTGACCTTTTCCAGTTCTGTGGTCACTGTAGGGTTTTCCAAATTTGCTGGCATATTGAGTGCAGTACTTTCACAGCATCATCTTTCAGGATTTGAAATAGCTCAACTGGAATTCCATCACCTCCACTAGCTTTGTTCGTAGTGATGCTTTCTAAGGCCCACCTGACTTCACATTCCAGGATGTCTGGCTCTAGGTGAGTGATCACACCATCGTGATTATCTGGGTCATGAAGATCTTTTTTGTACAGTCCTTCTGTGTATCCTTGCCACCTCTTCTTAATATCTTCCGCTTCTGTTAGGTCCATACCATTTCAGTCCTTTATCGAACCCATCTTTGCATGAAATGTTCCCTTGGTATCTCTAATTTTCTTGAATAGATCACTAGTCTTTCCCATTTTGTTTTCCTCTGTTTCTTTGCAGTGATCGCTGAGGAAGGCTTTCTTATCTCTCCTTGCTATTCTTTGGAACTCTGCATTCAAATGGGAATATCTTTCCTTTTCTCCTTTGCTTTTTGCTTTTCTTCTTTTCACAGCTATTTGTAAGGCCTCCTCAGCCAGCCATTTTGCTTCTTTGCATTTCTTTTTCTTGGGGATGATCTTGATTCCTGTCTCCTGTACGATGTCACGAACCTCCATCCATAGTTCATCAGGCAGTCTGTCTATCAGATCTAGTCCGTTAATCTATTTCTCACTTCCACTGTATAGTCATAAGGGATTTGATTTAGGTCATACCTGAATGGTCTAGTGGTTTTCTCCACTTTCTTCAATTTCAGTCTGAATTTGGCAATAAGGAGTTCATGATCTGAGCCACAGTCAGGTCCTGGTCTTGTTTTTGCTGACTGTATAGAGCTTCTCCATCTTTGGCTGCAAAGAGTAAAATTAATCTGATTTCAATGTTGACCATCTGGTGGTGTCCACATGTAGTCTTCTCTTGTGTTGTTGGAAGAGGGTGTTTGCTTTGACCAGTGCATTCTCTTGGCAGAACCCTATTAGCCTTTGCCCTGCTTCATTCTGTACTCCAAGGCCAAATTTGCCTGTTACTCCAGGTGTTTTTTGACTTCCTACTTTTGCATTGCAGTCCCCCATAATGAAAAGGACGTCTTTTGGGGGTGTTAGTTCTAGAAGGTCTTGTAGGTCTTCATAGAACCGTTCAACTTCAGCTTCTTCAGCATTACTGGTTGGGGCATAGGCTTGGATTACCATGATATTGAATGGTTTGCCTTGGAAACGAACAGAGATCATTCTGTCATTTTTGAGATTGCATCCAAGTACTGCATTTCAGACTCTTTTGTTGACCATGATGGCTACTCCATTTCTTCTAAGGGATTCCTGCCCATAGTAGTAGATATAATGGTCATCTGAGTGAAATTCACCCATTCCAGTCCATTTTAGTTCACTGATTCCTAGAATGTCGACATTCACTCTTGCCATCTCCTGTTTTACCACTTCCAATTTGCCCCTTGATTCATGGACCTAACGTTCCAGGTTCCTATGCAATATTGCTCTTTACAGCATCAGACCTTGCTTCTATCACCAGTCACATCCACAACTGGGTATTGTTTTTGCTTTGGCTCCATCCCTTCATTCTTTCTGGAGTTATTTCTCGACTGATCTCCAGTAGCATATTGGGCACCTACTGACCTGGGGAGTTCCTCTTTCCGTGTCCTATCTTTTTGCCTTTTCCTACTGTTCATGGGTTTCTCAAGGCAAGAATACTGAAATGGTTTGCCATTCCCTTCTCCAGGGGACCACATTCTGTCAAACCTCTCCACCATGACCCGTCTGTCTTGGGTGGCCCCACACGGCATGGCTTAGTTTCGTTAAGACAAGGGGCGGCAACCGAGAGCGCCAGGCTGTGACCGTACAGGAGCGGCCGAGAGGAGCTACCCCAGTCCAAGGAGCGGCGGCTGTGCGGGTGCAGGAGGGCCGAGAGGAGCTACTCCACGTTCAAGGTCAGGAGGGGCGGCCGTGAGGAGATACCCCTTGTCCAAGGTAAGGAGAAGCGGCTGCGCTTTGTTGGAGCAGCCGTGAAGAGATAGCCCACGTCCAAGGTAAGAGAAACCCATGTAAGACGGTAGGTGTTGCGAGAGGGGATCAGAGGGCAGGTACACTGAAACCATAATCACAGAAAATGAGCCAATCTGATCACAGGACCACAGTCTTGTCTAACTTATGGTTACCAATGGTTAAAGGGTGGGGAGGAATAAATTAAGAGGATGGGATTAAAACATACTCCCTACTATACATAAGATAGTTAACCAACAAGGACCTATTGTATAGCACAGGGAATTATACTCAGTATTTTGTAATAACCTAAAATGGAAAGAATCTTAAAAAAGAATGTGTGTGTGTGTGTGTGTGTGTGTGTGTGCATGTGCTTGCATCTCCCCAGGTGGCGCTAGTGGTAAAAAAATCCCCTTGCCAATACAGGAGATGTAAGAGATGTGGGTTTGATCCCTGGGTCAGGAAGATCCGCTGGAGGAGGGCATGGCAACCCACTTCAGTATTCTTGCCTGGAGAATCCCACGGACAGAGGAGCCTGGTGGGCTACAGTTCATAGGGTCGCAGAGAGTAGGACACGACTGAAGTGATTTAGCACAGCACAGCACGTGTGTGTGTGTGTGTGTGTGTGTACACACACACATATATTTACATATAACTGAATCATCTTGCTGTATACCTGAAATTAACACAACATTGTAAATCAACTATATTTTCGTAAAATTTTTTTAGAGAGAGTGAGAAAGAGGGAGTTTTTTAAAATGTAAGTGGGGTTTTATTGTACATATTTGTTCTGTATATTGCTTTTTTCTCTTAACAGTATATCTTGGAGATCTTTTCATATCAACTTATGTTTATCTAGTTTATTCTTTTTAATGGCTAATATTTTAAGACTAACAAATTATTCAGTTCCCTATTAATGGACATTTCTGTTTCAAGTTTTTTGCTGCCATTAATAAGGCTAGAGTGAACATTCTGATACTTAATTGTTCTTATCAGTTTCCGTAAGATTGCCAAGTAGGAGAGGAAGTAAAAGATTTTTAAGTCACTAAATCTAAGTACAATAGGACATATTTTGTCAGTACAACCTAAAGAAAGCTATGTGGAAAAAACATAACAATTTTTTTTTAACGAGGAAGAAATGAGTTCTACAGAAAATTCTCTCCATCTCCTCAATAATTAAATCCTTATTGGGATATTTCTCTGCAGTGAAGACAATAAGATTCTTACAGAAACTGAAGTCTGTTAATGCTTTCACAGTTTGTTTTGTTGTCCCACACCCCTGCCCATTAAGTAATCACATCTCCTCCAGAAAATAAAGATGACTTAATGACCACTGAGTTTAGAGGGATTTTTTTTTTTTTCAGCTATCTCTTTGGGATC